CAACCGAAGTTTGAAAATGCACATAACGCACAATATGTCACTATTATTGTATTCAATATATATATAGATRCATATATTACAAGTAATAAAAATGGACAACTTACCAAGTCTGTGACACGTTCCATCTTGACACAATCTACTTTCTTCTTTGTCCTGCATGATGCTCAATGCCGAAATGTCTGGCTGCGTTCTGCACGAGAATCTGTATCTCTTATGTGTACCGTTACCGGCCGACACCCACGGTGACCACGACGATATCTTTTTTATACTATCCGAGCACGGTTTCTGGTTGCACAGTTCATACTCTTCGGAACACCCGACGCAATCCTGACCTTCTWGTGGGGGTGGGTTGTTACAGTACCGCGACCTCTGTCGAATGCCTCCACCGCACTTGGTCGAACATTTTCCCCACGGACCCCAGGCGCTCCAGCCCGGTTCTTTTACGACAGGTGGCGAAACTGTGACGGCCGGGGGTAAAGAAAAAAGATAATAACAATTGTTAATAACAATTTAATATATCGCACGACGGCACCGGAAGCCGCTCTTTGGAGCACTGTTGATTATCCTTACCTGGACAGGGTGGGTTCGAATGGCAAAACATTTCATCGGTGTCCCGTCCTACACACACGCGACCGCCAAATGCCGGCGCCGGGTTTCCACAGGTCCTCTTTCTGACTTTCACGGCGGAACCGCAACTTTGCGTACACGCCGACCAGTCCGACCAAGCAGACCATTGTCCATGTACGGTGCAATTAGTCACCTACACATGAGAAAAAACGAAAGTTAATTTATGTATGTCAGTGCGATGGCGTTAATATTAACGAGTAATCATGTTTATAAGCGTRCAAATATTATGTACATATTATTATAATATGTATTATACATAATAAATGTGTGCGTAGGATATTATAATTATTTCTCGGTAGTACAACTAATTTATCTATATATGATCTCAAATGCAGGTATTCACATACCATCACACATGCACATAATAATATACATGCATACCTATACTCTAATAAATGTCCAATATAAGTTTTTTCGCATTACATGGGTGTGTCGGTGTGTGTAACATTTTGTATACCTACTATCGAGTTTAAAAAAGAATACAAAAGACTGGTATCTTTATGATAACTCCACGTTATACTAAAAAATTTGCATATAAAACCAATTAAGCGGAATATTGCTTACGCAAAAAAAAAAATCAAAACACCCTATTATTATTGTGATTCGCTAACGCGTATTATCTTCGGAAAACGGAAAATATATGTGTGCATGATGGTCAATATAAAAGTAAAGCGATAAAAATTATTTAGGTACGACAGTAATAATTGCAGTGATCACGGGTTAGGCACATCGGTAAAAAATAATAAAATAAAATAAAATAGTCCATCGCCTTTCTCACTGCAGTTGGCTTATAATTAGTATACCTAGGTAGGTTTGGTAGGTAGGTAATATAATATAAGCTGGTTGCATGTCACACACCTGCATGGTAGGACCTTGGCAATTGGCYCCGTCGTACTTGGGTTCGGGGTTCGTGCACGTTCTGCTCGAACACAAACATTGGTCAGTGGATTCTTTGCCGTTGACGTTTTGCGTACACGCAGCCCATGCAGACCAGCTGGACCAACCGCCGTCGATCGGCCTCGACCGGTCCGGACACTTGGTAACGTCCTGTCGCCAATTGTGTTCCATGATGTTACCGTTCGTCGGCGGTTGACACTTGTCAACGTGCTCGTTCCATCCGCAATAGGGGTCCATCGCGTTCATGCATGCTTCTTTGCTCCGGTGTCGGCCACAGTGCTGGGCCGGTATTTTCAACACCCGGTCACGAGTGCCCACGTAAATCGAGTCCTGCACATACACACACACACACACACACACGTGATGACAAATGAGCACCCGATTCTGTCATAGCTGAATAAAAACGTTGAGTGTTACGTACCGTGACTTTCAGATAATGCAACGCCATGATCTGGGAACCGGAACCCTCGGGGAATATGTTCCACTCCTCCAGTGTGCACGTGGTAGAAGACTTCGGTAAGATAGTGATCTTTTTCACTGTCCCTTCAGTCGTGGCCACGTACAAGACTTTTAAAGACCCGTGGGGTTTAGTTGGCACAACGTCGACAGCAATGTGTGTCAGAATCTCCAAGGGCTTGTAATACAGTGGATCCATCGTGGTGGGCTGTACTGCGTTGTCCATCAGTTGGTATCTTTTATTAAGGTACAACACATAGAAATTAGAGTATAGAACACATACGGTTTACCCACTAATAATAATAATAATAATTATATATTAGACATCGCCTGTCCCAAAACGTATATTACACACGAAAATGAACGTAAATCAAAAAATTATGTATAGTTTAAGTGAATTCTATGTATGACATTTAACACGTTTAAACCAGATTTTATTTCTTGCAGTTATGTTTATTACGAATAAAGAATAGTAATAACGTTCAACTTAGTATAATACTGGTGCATCTAAAATTATTTWAAAAAAAATAATAAAACTCGTTTGGACGAATGAAATGTAATTATATAACCCTTATAGTATGACACCTAACTCGGTCATAAATAACTAACATAATTTATTTATTATGTATGGTTTTTAAGTTTTCTAAATCGTTTTAGGTCATGTTTAGATATGATTAAAAATTTCATAAATAGTCTGCAAGCATTGTTCTTCAATATTGTACGTTTATAGAAAATTAATCTAAAAACTGAAAAAATAAAAGAATAATTTCATATGAATTAGCAGATTTACATAAGAAAATAACGGGTAAACAACGACTCGACCACCATCGGAGTTCTATAATATTATATTACCCCGTGTTTAAACTATAGAATTATAATATGACGTGTATTGTATAAACTAAGGAACTCTAGTACAATAGGTACTTATATATACTACTAATAATAACAATGATAATAAATTAAATACCTCGACGAGTCAAGTATCTGATTTGGATCCTGTCTTTGACAGTGTCCGTGGTTGAGTTGATGAGGTGGGTTATATCGTACCCATTCTGAACCGACGCTGGCTTGGTGTTTGAACGGTCCATTAAACGCTGCATTAATAGCGGTAAGGTTAAAACTACATACTGCCGATCCAGCTATACCATTGCTGTACAAAATAATGACACACACTTTAATTTGAAMTATATGTACTAGTACTCCCACATCAATTCATATAGTTAGTTAAACTAAGAATAACAATAATTACGAATAGTTTAAAAGCAGGACCAAAAATATATGACGATAGAATTTATTTTTAAACCAAARGCTAAAGTTACCAATCACGCTGAGATACGTTCTGTAGAACTATGTTAAAACGTATGTAAAAGAGATCTCCTACTAAAAATGTTGCAAAAATAAAGGCGTGGAAWTCCRTGGAATTATGCAGCCATGTAATTATAATATTATAGTGTACGACGTACGTGCCATAGGTATGAATAGGTACTTTTTATATATTTTAAATATAAATTAATATTAAATCGTACTCAACTATTCAAGTATGTGTTGAAAAATTTTTAAAAGTATTCTTTACAAAGCTGAATTTCAGAATGATAAGATTGGAACGACTGACGAAAACAGATATCTGACACTATATATAGTGTATAGACGTGCGATATGCCCGCGAAAACCAGACAATCTACTAAAAAAATTCGCAAAAATATATTACCTCGGTGTAGTGAATGTAGCGTACACCAATCCTTCGTCCGGTAAATAAGTCATACCCTGAATTTCATCAAAGTAAAACGGGTATTCGCCGGGTAAAGAACAGTTTAAACGGGCCTTAATGAACGTGGTCCAATTGTCTCGTAGCATAGTTTCTCCACCAACGTCGTTTTTACACATCCTAGCAATTCTCGAGTACACTCTCTGTAATACATAATACATGATCATGTTAATATTGTACGTACACAATTGTTTCGTAATTTACTATCAAAATTACTTTAAAATGTCCACTCATACTTTATAGTATTCGAATATATTGAGGTACACAATAATGTGTGCCTACTAAATGGTTACATTTCCGGTCTAAAACGGTTTATTTCCTATACTAAAACGACAACTTGCAAATACATACCTTGCCACAGTTTATGTACTCCACTGCACTTTCTCTGAACAAAAAGTACACGTAGGCGTCGGTCTCGAACGATCCGACAAATTGAGGCTCGTTCAGCCACTTGGCATCATAGTTCTTCGTTCGCAAGTACGAAGCTCCCAGGTCCCGGACAATGGCTGAGTCTGCGCCTGAAAAGTCCATCGGACTACCGGCAAAGTACTGGCCGTTGAGCGTGATCATGGCTGTGATGTTGGACAGCGGACTGTACGGACACTTGCCCACCCCGCGCACGGTGTCGGTCACGCTGTTGGCATTTTCTATCTATCGAAACACAGAAATGTTGCACAATTAGTACCCATACATAAAGATTAAAGAGAGCTCTGCTACGTCGCATTCCCCGCCCGAGAACGACGACACACTTTCGCCGTGCTTGCTGACATTGATGTATTATAATTTGCTAAATGAGCTCTAGGATGGGAATTTATAATAACAGTATAATATTATTGTGAGCTAGCTAGTCATCATAGATCCCGTCCGAATGGGCGGCCAAAGGCGGTTTTAATATTACATTAATGAATGTTGTTCATTTTAATAACGACCGGCTGATGAAAAGTATTAACTATATAAATTACCGCATTTAATATACCTACGTTTTATTCCCTTCGAATTTTATTGGGATGATGAATAAGTATATACGCATTTAAGTACGCTTTTATCGTGAAAACTAATGCAACCATCAACAAAGTAGGATAGAGGACGTACATCATAATTTGTGAACAAGTGTATACAACATACAATACAATACAGTGAAGTGTATACATCGTATTTCGAAACTACTATTTGGATTGACAAGACGATTCGAAATAATTATAGTTCAGCTGATGTACGCTATATAAGCAGTCAGCCTAAAAATAGGTACACCCAATTTTGTTATTGATATGTTACCTCTCTCCACGTGCACTGTGGTGAAAAAGCTCCAGTGCCGCATGCGAACAACCGTTTTCCAGTGGACAACAGTACTTTGACGTAGTTGTGACAGTCATCGACACTTTGGCCTTTCACCAGACACAGCTGCACCTTTTCCTCAGCGGCTGGCCATCGTGCGACCTCGATCTTTTTCAAATCATCCAAGTCCAGACGGTATATGTTGTCTCTGTTGGTAAAAAAAAAAATAAATAATGTTAAAAAATTAAAATAAAGTCTTGACCTCTTAGTTGTTGATGTTTTTTTTTCTAACGATTAAACGACGAGACGCGGTATGGGCACGGCTGCATCGCGTATAAGGACGCGACCCAAGTCCGAACATATGTTCGCCAAATATTAGAAAAACTACTCGATTTTTGGGTTGGCGACTCCAAACCCGGTACCCCGGAATCAGGATCGTGGCAAAACGGAGGGACATTCGAAAATTTCGATTCCCAGAGACGTGACGTACTCGAAATTGGGAAAATTCCTAGAGGCGCCAGTACAAATAATGACCGACGCACCAGGCGCCGTGTGGGCGCATTTCAGTGAGAGAAAAAAAGAAAGAAACTGGTTTACAATATTATATACGTACAGGTGTATTATCGACAAACAATTTAATTTATCATTATTACATAAAAAAAAATAAAATCCAACTGGCACATTAAACATTTTCGTATAAATTTATTCCTTTTCTCCTCTTCCCGTATAATCTATATCAATAGATCCACCACCTTTCGACGGCTCATAATTCTCCGCCATTATGATCTAGATGCGTTGGACAGGGACGATATAAAACCGTCGCCACCGTAGCCTCGGTCGCCATACGGTAATTGCTACGTAGGCAGGATTTTTTTTTCATTGCGTTGTTTATTAATGAATTCAAAATTGGACTTAATAACAGGCGTGGGTATCAAGCCTCACCTGTTCGAACCACGAACGTTATAATCCTAATAATACTTATACTGCGGGAGAACATTTTTTTGCGACGTTGTTATAATGATGATAGTAAAATACCAAAAGAAAAACTATTTTTTCGTTTAAACGACACTGAATAATAATTAATTAAGATTATTATTAAAATTAATAAAAGAAAAAAAAACTGCTGAACAAAAAATTGTATTTTACTTTTTGAACACATTACTATTAGATAATCAAATAACAGTGATGTWACGCGAATATACACAAACAATGTCRAACTTTATTGAGCGCGTTTTTTTTTCGTACATAAAACATTATTTCAACTTTAAGTAGACTTAGTACACTTTGATAGTATACTTTAAATATTTTAAATAATATTCGTTACAGTATCTGAATGCGAGTTTTAAATACATACCAAAATAAGTCCAATCCAACGAACTACGGAAGTACATTTTAGAAATTATAGCGTAATAATATMTACGTTTATATATCGCAATAAACTAATAAATTCTATATAGTGGCGTTTCCGTAAAGACTATAAAAACGGAATTTTTGCAAGACAAACACCTATAGAATCTTATATAGGTATTTTAATCTACACAATTCCCCTACATATATTATACGATTCTGCGTTTAAACAGTTTAAAAGTGAACGGAAAATGTACCTATAAACAAGTAGTTAATATGAAATATTTAAACAGTCGGCTGAGTATTAATAATTATGACGACACGAAATGTCGTGATGATCGTATTCGTTGAGACTTCTGATTTATATTATATAGACGTATTATACATATGCATACAACAAATTTCGACTACTTGTAGCGCAGTGTAATACACAATCCAATTCCAGTATTGATAGTTTTCAATGTTTCACACTTCGAATTTCACACAGTATGACGTCTTTATTATAATAATAATAATGTGAACTATGATTTCCGTTTACAATACAAATAAATTCGTTTTACGATTCTTGTCCGCAGTTAATAATATGTCTATAACGACTATAATACTGTACAGATCCTTGTCTATCATAGAGACGAATCATTTGGACCATCCATCGTAATAGCACGAGTCATCATAATATTATAATAACTATACGTATTACGCATCATTGAATCGATGACGATTTGTTGACATAATATTAAATGAATCTGCATTCGGAACTTGTATAAGCTATATTTATTTAAATCTCGACTGATATAATATTATAAATCGAAAATAATCAAAGTGTTTTTCAATGGAATTGAACATGTGTCACGTCCATGTGAATTATTCAAACATTTCATAATGATAATATTATAAGCTATAAGTATTAATTTATTTAGTATACCTATATATTATTACAACGCCGAGAGGAACAAATAACATTGAGACAATGAGAAATTAAGTTGAAATTCTGCAGGAACAATAATATATAACGCCCAAACAGATGTTCAATAATTAAGTACTCACTCCATAAACGTTAAGACGTGTTTTTGTTGGACGACCAAGACCAACACTGTTTTCTTTTTCGAATTTACAACGTTATAAAATCAATGGTAATATACCTACCAAACGTAAACGAAATAAATAACGATTTTATTGATACGATAAATTTGACGGTCTTGCAATAATTACGGAAAACTGGTTTCGAAAACACATAAGTCACACGATAAATCGGTGTTCGATGGTGTAAAATAACCGGTCTTAAAAAAMTTGTAAACAGCCAAAGTGTGTCGGAAAACCGGCGATAATTCAGTTTCGGCCGGACCAGGTCCACGCCGACCGCCGCGCTCTGCAGATCATCGGTGTCTTTTAAATTTTTCCGCAATTATAGCTTTATATATTCATATAATATAACACACACGTAATATAATAATATTATAGTAATTGACATTTACGACGCCAAAGATCATATATCATCGTGTATCTGTACCCGTGACCGCAACGGTGTTGTGCCGACGGTATATTATATACATATAAGAAGAATAAAATATACGCACATGCACGTACTGCCTATATATAGGTACCTGCCTACTATATACCATTGCAGATGGCATCTATTATTATTGTAGACGTTTTACGTCTGCGTCGTGCCATTGTTTCCAGTCAGTATAATATAAAATAATATAATAATAATTGTGCCCTTTTTCTCTTTTAATTAAATTTTACATTTGGAAGGTGACATTTGTTTTGTATAATCGTTTTTCTCTTTCTTTCTCAGGTCGGCCTTAAACATAATAATTAATGATATATTAATAGATATCAACGACTGTATGTTATAAAATGTATATCGCTATATTATTATGTTATACATAATAATGCGTACCGATGGGGTTTATGCTGCAGTACCATTAGCATAGTATTGTCTTAGACTTGTATAATGTAAAGACCTATCAGACACCAATWCTAAGATAGCGAAGAAGACGCGACGACGATCTTTAACTTGTAACAAACTKTATTCCATTTTCAAATGTATAGATCAGATAAATATTTGTATGTTTAACAAGTGTGTTGATATTTATCACATTAACTTATACTTGACCTGACGTCCAAATACGTGCTACGTCGTTAAACAATTGTGTGTACCTGCACGGCGTACTAAAATATTGACAACAGTCGTTACCGTTATCCAGGATTTGAAGTACCTAAGTACTAGGTAGGTATGGACTAAACCACATCATATCCTAAATTTTTATATCATGTGACTTTTTATCTCAATATTCAAAACATTTTAGTATAAGTAAGTATGCACTTTGTCCCCTTTGCCTACATAATTACGTAAAATCAGTCCTCGGAAATCACGATGAGTTCAAACTTCAAAGCGTAACATGTTCGTATTATGTCGTTTTTTTTTATTTAGGTACATCATATAATTCTAGGGCATTCACAATTGTATGTTACACGATTATATGAAGCCARTAGTGTCCAAACGTAAAATGTTTAAAAAAAAAACCGACGCTCTAAACTGGCGCCAACTGCATTTACAACGACGAAACGCTAAATCCAATAATTCGTACAAATGACAAAATATATAATCCAAGACGRCAAAACGTGTACCATAAATGCATAAAACTATAATAATCTCTTGTCTGGCGCAGCGTGTCGGCCTGGATGAATCGTCATCATAATATAAAATAAAATATGTCCGGGACCTGCCGCGACGTAATGACCTGCTCCAGTATGGGTACTATATTATAAAATGGTATATACTATTATATGCAGTATACACTATACATGGTATCAGGGGCGGACGCAGGAAAAAATTTCGGGGGGGGGGTATACTCTCGTAAACATCTGGAAATAATTGCTACGCACCAGATTGTGTACGAAATGACAATATAATGATATAATAATTTTGTAAAGTATATTACTCGATAGTCGATCGTCTAGCTGTGATTGGCTACACGAAATGCATATTATACACGTTAGTTACATGACGCGTACCTATGTACGACAGTTAAAAAAAAAACAATAGTTATCGTTTTTGAACGCGTACCTATTATGATGTACATTATTCTTGGTAGGTAAGTGCATGTATAATTTCAAGTTTCGTCTTCGGGTGAACATGACGTTTAATTATAATAATAATATTCGGCTTTCGAGCGTCACCCCGTCGGTGCATTTTTAATTTCTTTTCTATAGGCGTATAATATTAACCACTATGGTTATAGTAGTGTATATTGTTTGTAGATAATAATATTCGGCTTTCGAGCGTCACCCCGTCGGTGCATTTTTAATTTCTTTTCTATAGGCGTATAATATTAACCACTATGGTTATAGCAGGTTGCAGGTACCTATTATTTAATAATTTTTCAACGTGAAACACATTTTATAGGAATACGCGCCGCGGTTATAATAATAACTACTATATAATGCATATTATTATCTACAAACAATATACACTAGACGCGCATAGTAAAATAATAATATACATCCATAATTCAAACAATATCGTCGGGTTGGCAGAAGACCGGCGGCGCGGCGGCATCTACCAATGAAAACAACCATCGGAAATAAGCTCCACGAAAAATTATTGAACTCCACAGCGAGGTCTGCATAATATATTTAAACAAGAACCCTATATTATATGTTACAATATAAACCTACGCCTATAGTGTAGTGGTGGCACTCGGTGTAATGTCTGTACGTTTCGGCAATCGATGGGATTTATCAAAAAAAAACAATAATAATAATATTGCATATTATTATATATTGTGTAAATAGGCGTAGGAATAGCGTATTGTTTAATCGTTCGTTTTCCCCGGATGAACAATAGTATTGCGT